TCGCCATCCCTTCCCGGATGGTGACCATCGCCTCTATATGACGATCGGCTTCACCATTGCCTCATCATCATTATTTGGACCGACTCCTCATCGTCGTCGTCCTCATATCACGATCGACCCCCTCGGCCTCAGTGTGATCATCTATCTCAAGACCGACTTCCTCAGCGCCGCGAGTCTTGAGCCAGCGATCGGGCTCGCCATCCCTTCCCGGATGGTGACCATCGCCTCTATATGACGATCGGCTTCACCATTGCCTCGTCATCATTATTTGGACCGACTCCTCATCGTCGTCGTCCTCATATCACGACCGACCCCCTCGGCCTCAGTGTGATCATCTATCTCAAGACCGACTTCCTCAGCGCCGCGAGTCTTGAGCCAGCGATCGGGCTCGCCATCCCTTCCCGGATGGTGACCATCGCCTCTATATGACGATCGGCTTCACCATCGCCTCGTCATCATTATTTGGACCGACTCCTCATCATCGTCGTCATCATATCACGACCGACCCCCTCGGCCTCGGTGTGATCATCTATCTCAAGACCGGCTTCCTCAGCGCCGCGAGTCTTGAGCCAGCGATCGGGCTCGCCATCCCTTCCCGGATGGTGACCATCGCCTCTATATGACGATCGGCTTCACCATTGCCTCGTCATCATTATTTGGACCGACTCCTCATCGTCGTCGTCCTCATATCACGACCGACCCCCTCGGCCTCGGTGTGATCATCTATCTCAAGACCGACTTCCTCAGCGCCGCGAGTCTTGAGCCAGTGATCGGGCTTGCCATCCCTTCCCGGCTGGTGACCATCGCCTCTATATGACGATCGGCTTCACCATTGCCTCGTCATCATTATTTGGACCGACTCCTCATCGTCGTCGTCCTCATATCACGACCGACCCCCTCGGCCTCGGTGTGATCATCTATCTCAAGACCGACTTCCTCAGCGCCGCGAGTCTTGAGCCAGCGATCGGGCTCGCCATCCCTTCCCGGATGGTGACCATCGCCTCTATATGACGATCGGCTTCACCATTGCCTCGTCATCATTATTTGGACCGACTCCTCATCGTCGTCGTACTCATATCACGACCGACTCCCTCGGCCTCGGTGTGATCATATATCTCAAGACCGACTTGCTCAGCGCCGCGAGTCTTGAGCCAGCGATCGGGCTCGCCATCCCTTCCCGGATGGTGACCATCGCCTCTATATGACGATCGGCTTCACCATCGCCTCGTCATCATTATTTGGACCGACTCCTCATCATCGTCGTCCTCATATCACGACCGACCCCCTCGGCCTCGGTGTGATCATCTATCTCAAGACCGGCTTCCTCAGCGCCGCGAGTCTTGAGCCAGCGATCGGGCTCGCCATCCCTTCCCGGATGGTGACCATCACCTCTATATGACGATCGGCTTCACCATTGCCTCGTCATCATTATTTGGACCGACTCCTCATCATCGTCGTCCTCATATCACGACCGACCCCCTCGGCCTCGGTGTGATCATCTATCTCAAGACCGACTTCCTCAGCGCCGCGAGTCTTGAGCCAGCGATCAGGCTCGCCATCCCTTCCTGGATGGTGACCATCGCCTCTATATGACGATCGGCTTCACCATTGCCTCGTCATCATTATTTGGACCGACTCCTCATCGTCGTCGTCCTCATATCACGACCGACCCCCTCGGCCTCGGTGTGATCATCTATCTCAAGACCGACTTCCTCAGCGCCGCGAGTCTTGAGCCAGCGATCGGGCTCGCCATCCCTTCCCGGATGGTGACCATCGCCTCTATATGACGATCGACTTCACCATCGCCTCGTCATCATTATTTGGACCGACTCCTCATCGTCGTCGTCCTCATATCACGACCGACCCCCTCGGCCTCGGTGTGATCATCTATCTCAAGACCGGCTTCCTCAGCGCCGCGAGTCTTGAGCCAGCGATCGGGCTCGCCATCCCTTCCCGGATGGTGACCATCGCCTCTATATGACGATCGGCTTCATCAGCGCCTCGTCATCATATTATAGGATCGACTCCTCATCGTCTTCGTCCTCATATCACGACCGACCCCCTCGGCCTCGGTGTGATTATCTATCTCAAGACCGGCTTCCTCAGCGCCGCGAGTCTTGAGCTAGCGATCGGGCTCGCCATCCCTTCCCGGATGGTGACCATCGCCTTTATATGACGATCGGCTTCACCATTGCCTCGTCATCATTATTTGGACCGACTCCTCATCGTCTTCGTCCTCATATCACGACCGACCCCCTCGGCCTCGGTGTGATCATCTATCTCAAGACCGGCTTCCTCAGCGCCGAGAGTCTTGAGCTAGCGATCGGGCTCGCCATCCCTTCCTAGATGGTGACCATCGCCTCTATATGACGGCCAGCTCATCATTGCCCCGTCATCATATTTCGGATTGGCTCTTTTCATTTCCATCCGCGCATCACGACCGGCCCCTCGGCCTCGGCGTGACTATCTATCTCAAGACCGGCTTCCTCAGCGCCGAGAGTCTTGAGCTAGCGATCGGGCTCGCCATCCCTTCCTGGATGGTGACCATCGCCTCTATATGACGGCCGGCTCATCATTGCCCCATCATCATATTTCGGATTGGCTCTTTTCATTTCCATCCGCGCATCACGACCGGCCCCTCGGCCTCGGCGTGACTATCTATCTCAAGACCGGCTTCCTCAGCGCCGCGAGTCTTGAGCCAGCGATCCGGCTCGCCATCCCTTCCCGGATGGTGACCATCGCCTCTATATGACGATCGGCTTCACCATCGCCCCGTCATCATTATTTGGACCGACTCCTCATCGTCGTCGTCCTCATATCACGACCGACCCCCTCGGCCTCGGTGTGATCATCTATCTCAAGACCGGCTTCCTCAGCGCCGAGAGTCTTGAGCTAGCGATCGGGCTCGCCATCCCTTCCTGGATGGTGACCATCGCCTCTATATGACGGCCGGCTCATCATTGCCCCGTCATCATATTTCGAATTGGCTCTTTTCATTTCCATCCGCGCATCACGATCGGCCCCTCGGCCTCGGCGTGACTATCTATCTCAAGACCGGCTTCCTCAGCGCCGAGAGTCTTGAGCTAGCGATCGGGCTCGCCATCCCTTCCTGGATGGTGACCATCGCCTCTATATGACGGCCGGCTCATCATTTCCCCGTCATCAAATTTCGGATTGGCTCTTTTCATTGCCATCCGCGCATCACGATCGGCCCCTCAGCCTCGGCGTGACTATCTATCTCAAGACCGGCTTCCTCAGCGCCGAGAGTCTTGAGCTAGCGATCGGGCTCGCCATCCCTTCCTGGATGGTGACCATCGCCCTTATATGACGATCGGCTTCATTCTTGCCTCGTCATCATTATATCAGATCGGCTCATCATCTCCGTCCTCACATCACGATCGGCCCCTCGGCCTCGGCGTGATTATCTATCCCCAAGACCGGTCTCAGTCATTCCTTCATCGGATGGCGACCGCTGCTTGGACTTTTGGATCAGCCTCATAGTGCTGACGACCTCGCATCACGATCGGCCCCTCGGCCACGACGTCACACCCTATCCCAATACGGCTTCATCAGCGCCGAGTGTGTTGGGCTAGCGATCAGGCTCGCCATCCCCTCCTGGATGGTGACTATCGCCTCTATATGATGATCGACTCCATCATCGCCTCGTCATCATATTTCGGACTGACTCCTCATCATTGTCATCCGCACATCGCGATCAGCCCCTCGGCCGCGACGTGATTATTTATCTCAAGACCGGCTCCCAGCGCCGAAGTCTTGTTATAGCGATTGGGCTCGCCATCCCTTCCCGGACGGAGACCGTCGCCCCTATATGACGCACGGCTCATCATCGCCTCGTCCTCACATTTAGACCGGCCCCAGCGCCGAAGTCTTTATCTAGCGACCAGGCTCACCATTCCCTTCCTAGATGGTGACCGTCGCCTTCATATGACGCATGGCTTATCATCACCTCGTCCCCATATTCGGACCGGCTCACCAGCGTCATCGTCCCCATATTCGGACCGGTTCGTCAGCGCTGTCGTCCTCATATTCGGACCGACTCATCAGTGTCGTCGTCCTCATATTCAGACAGGTGTCCACCGCCTCGTCCCCCTATTCAGATATAGCGAACATCTTGCGGTCTCCGGCCGAAAGGCTAAAGGAGCCCAGAGTTCGGCCATATATCACTCTGTCATCTTTATTTGATGACGCGAAGCTTATTTGCAGGCCCATCGGCCATATATCGCTCTGTCATCTTTATTTGATGATGAAGAGCTCATTTGTAGGCCCATCGGCCATATATCGCTCTGTCATCTTTATTTGATGATGAAGAGCTCATTTGTAGGCCCATCGGCCATGTATCGTTCTGTCATCTTTATTTGATGACGAGGAACTCATTTGTAGGCCTCTGAGCCACATCTTGCTCCGTCATCTTTATTTGATGATGTGGGAGCTCTCATATAGGCCTCTCTCGGCCATACATCACCCCGTCATCTTTATTTGATGATGTGGGGCTCTCATGTAGGCCTCTCGGCCATACATCGCCCCGTCATCTTTATTTGATGACGTGTAGCTCTCATATAGGCCTCTCTCGGCCATACATCGCCCCGTCGTCTTTATTTGACGACGTGGAGCTCTTATGCAGACCCCTCAGCCGCACCATCGCCCCGTCGTCTTTATTTGACGACGTGGAGCTCTTATGCAGGCCCCTCGACCGCACCATCGACCCGTCGTCTTTATTTGACGATGTGGAGCTCTTATGCAGGCCCCTCGGCCGCACCATCACCCCGTCGTCTTTATTTGACGACGTGGACCTCTTATGCAGGCCCCTCGGCCGCACCATCGCCTCGTCGTCTTTATTTGACGACGTGGAGCTCTTATGCAGGCTCCTCGGCCGCACCATCGCCCCGTCGTCTTTATTTGACGACGTGGAGCTCTTATGCAGGCCCCTCGGCCATACATCGCCTTGTCGTCCTTATTCGACAACATGGAGCTCTCGTACAGGCCTCGCGGCCCATCGGCCTTACGTTCTGGTCATCTTTATTTGATGAACCAGACATCATATTGTGGACGGTCGCTCGACCCATCCCTTAGTCATCTTTATTTGATGACTAGGACTACTGATCATGATGAGCTACCCACATCTAGAGATCGGCCTCGACCATCGCCCCAGCAGACGGGCACCGTTGCAGCTCCATCTCCAGGCCGAAGGGTTCACACATTTTGTTTCATTTTGGGGGCATCCGGTGTACTCTTTTTCCCTCATTAGGATTTTTTCCCACAGGGTTTTTCCTAATGAGGTTTTTAACGAGGCATCTCCCCATCGTGGATCAAAAGGTGTCAACCCTCGGCCCCCTGTTGAAGACATCATCCGACACGCATTACTCTACTCCTCTTCACCTCATTACACTCGCCTCAAGGAGTGGGGGACTGGAAGAGCGGGGGACTTAGCGCCTCCGTTAACCAAAGAAGCAGAAATTAAAATTTTTGTCCACGAAGTTTACTCACCAGACGACGACAGATCAGCACACAGTTCTACTCTCTTTCGCCTCGAATACTCTCGACTCAGAGAGTGGGGGACTCCTGATAGAGTATATAGACTCGGACCCCCGGGTCTCACGACTATTGGGCCCGGGCAGCGGCCCACATACGCTCAGTAGATAGCATTTATTTCATTGTACACTCTATTTTATTCATGTATACCCGTTAGAATAGATTAAATACCATTTGTTAGCCATTTATTGGCCTTTTATTGTAAATGGGCCTTCCAGGCCCAAGCCTGGGAGCCCAGCCCACTTTTCTCCTATAAATACTCCCTAAGGGAGTCATGTAAAGGGTTGGAAATTCATTATATATATCATTTTATCTCTCTAGCTCTCCCTTCTCTCTAGGAGTTAATACTCCATCAGAAAGAATCGCACATTGAAAGATATGATGAATGCGATGCTAGTAAGTTCGGGCTTGCCACAAAATATGTGGGGCGAAGCAATCTTGACAAGCAATTACCTTTTAAATAAGGTTCCCCGGAAAAAATATGATAAAACTCCGTACGAGTTGTGGAAAGGCAGACGGCCTTCCTATCAATATTTAAAAGTGTGGGGGTGTCTTGCTAAGGTGCTTGTACCAACACCTAAGAAAATAAAAATAGGTCCAAAAACGGTGGATTGTATTTTTATTGGATATGCACAAAATAGTAGTTCTTATCGGTTTTTAGTGTACGATTCGAATAATCCGGATGTACATAAAAACACAATAATTGAATCAATGAATGCTTCATTCTTTGAAGATGTATTTCCATGCAAGTCCAACGAAGGGCCTAGCACGTCAAAACGAACATTTGACGTAGCTATGGAAAATACTAGCGAGGGATCCGGAGAAGAACCCGAACCCAGACGTAGCAAACGTGCTAGAGTTGAAAAATCCTTCGGACCGGATTTTCTCACCTACCTGGTAGAATTTGAACCGGATATTCTAACATGTATGGTAGAAAATGAACCGGATTTTCTAACATGTTTGGTAGAAAATGAGCCACGGACTTATACGGAAGCCGTGACGTCTACTGAAGGTCCTATGTGGAAAGAAGCCATCAAAAGTGAGGTGGATTCTATCCTTAAAAATCACACATGGGAATTGGTTGATCTTCCTCCGGGAAATAAACCTTTGGGATCCAAGTGGATTTTTAAACGGAAAATGAAACCTGACGGTTCCATCGATAAGTACAAGGCCAGACTTGTAATCAAGGGATACAAGCAACGTGAGGGCCATGATTACTTTGACACGTATTCTCCTGTGACGAGAATAAATTCCATTAGGATGATACTAGCAATTGCCGCATTGCGGAAATTGGAAGTTCATCAAATGGACGTAAAAACCGCTTTTCTAAATGGCGATATAGATGAAGAAATCTATATGGAACAACCCGAAGGCTTTCGTGTTCCAGGCCAAGAAAGGAAAGTGTGTAAATTATTTAAATCATTGTATGGATTGAAACAAGCCCCTAAACAGTGGCACGAAAAGTTCGATCATGCAATGTTAATTAATGGGTTTAAAATAAACGAAAGTGACAAATGCGTCTATGTGAAGAGCACGGTAGACGCCTATGTCATTTTATATTTATACGTGGATGATATACTCATCGTGGGTAGCAATAATCTAATGATTAATTCTACCAAAAACATGTTAAATTCTAAATTTGACATGAAGGATATGGGGCTGGCCGATTTAATCCTTGGGATTAAAATAATTAGAGGACCTGACGGTCTTACGCTAAGCCAATCCCATTACGTTGATAAAATCCTTACGAAATTTAATAAGGATGATTATCAAGAGGCAAGGACTCCATTAGATAAAAACGTACAACTTACCAAAAATCGTGGAGAGTGTATTTCTCAAGTAGAATACGCTAGGATTATTGGAAGCTTGATGTATCTAATGAGTTGTACCAGGCCTGATATTGCCTTTGTGGTTAGTAAGCTAAGTAGGTATACTAGCAACCCCGGTGATGAACACTGGAAGGCAATAATAAGGGTTTTGAGGTATTTACATCAAACCCAAAACCTTAGACTGCACTATGGAAGATAGCCAGCTGTACTTGAAGGGTATAGCGACGCTAGTTGGATATCCGACATAAAGGACTCTAAGTCCACAAGTGGATATATTTTCACTTTGGGAGGTGCAGCCGTGTCATGGAAATCCTCAAAACAAACGTTAATAGCTAGATCCACGATGGAGTCTGAGCTAATAGCCTTGGATAAGTGCACTGAAGAGGCTGAATGGCTACGCCATTTTCTTGAGGATATTCCAAGTTGGGAAAAGCCTGTCCCTCCAATATGCATACATTGCGATTGTCAAGCGGCAATTGGAAGGGTACAGAGCAATATGTACAATGGTAAGTCTAGACACGTTCGTCGTAGACATAACACCATTAAGTAACTCCTCACAACGGGTGTTATCACTGTTGACGACGTGAAGTCAAAGGATAACATAGCGGATCCGCTAACCAAGGCATTGGATAGAGAATTGTTGGAGAAGTTGTCACGAGGAATGGGACTAAAGCCCGTGAATTGAAAAGTTCTATAGTGGATACCCAACCTAGTTGGTCCTAGGTTCAAAAGGGACAACTAAATTATAGAGCGAAGGATGGTCACTGTGGGGGTCCCGGACTCCTACCCACTCCTCGTTAAAACAGTGACTCCCGCACGAGGTTAGCAAAAACGTTTGCTTTAATGATTCTAAAATGTTGATCTACTCGATAACATTGGAAGAGTATGCGGGATACTCGTGAAAGAATCACCTATGTGAGAGAGAAGAGGCCCGCTTCAAAGGAGAACTGTAAAGGCTCAGTTCTTTAGAAACTCTTGCAGAACCAGGACGGTGACCCATGGCCAAAACGGGCACACCCATGAGAACGAAACAAAGTTGGAAGGTTCTTGTGTAAAGATAAGTCAATGTTTACACGACGGCAGTATAGTTCAAGGACATCGAGTCTACTAGACAGCCAGTAAATAAACGTGTCTTTACAACGGAAGGTTCAAAGGATAAAACCTACCTCTTCGTATGCAAGGATCATCCGGTGAACACAACGTGTCCTCCTATCTTCGTGTCCTTTTTAGTCTCGAAAATCAATTTTCATTCATGTGGGGGATTGTTGGAAAAATGTGTTAAAACTGCATTAAATGGTCATTTTGGGGCAATTATTTAACACATTTTTCCAACAAAAAAATCATAGTGTGCGAAACATAGTATACCGGATGCGTTCAAAATAAAGCAAGAGGGTGAGCACTTTGGACACCGTATTCAGCTACAACTGTTGGAATTTGTTGAGGGAATGTCCGAGATCGGTATTCTGGTGTGACTAATGATCATTTGATGTGTCTTGTCTACAATGTCTTTGACTTTATCTTTGCCTAGTCACTCTCGGCCACTGTGGTTCAGTCTCGACCTCGTCCGACATCTGGATCATCAAATAAAGAAAACCTAGAGGATTCAGTAATCAAGTAGCCCACCATGACTTGTAGTCAAAGACGTCAAATAAAGATGACTATGAGATAGATTGAGCAATCCAGCTATGATATATAGGTCAGAAAACCAAACAAGGATGACTGGGTGATACAGTTTCAATTAAACTAAAGTTTTATATACATTTTACATGATTCATTTGAATAGAAAGATGGATTGATCACTTTTTACAGTCGACTCATTTAGTTTCTTCAAATATTTTATGTGATATTATAAATGATAATCAACTATATAAACTTAACCTTAGCGAGAGGTGACTCTTTTTTCTAGGGTGGTTGATATGATGTTAGACTTTTCATGTCAGCCGTCATAGTAAGAAAAAATAGCTGTTGATTTATAATATTTTATTATTAATTTTTCTATCTTTTATTTCCTTTTCGCATTGTATTTAAATAATTATACAACAAAGTGAGGTTAACTACTATTTCCATTTTCTATTTCTAAAACATAGAATTTCGACATATTGATCAAATAAAGCAATAAGCATATGAAACCGAATCGAATCAAACAAAACTCAACCAAATATATCATTTTAATTATGGAAATCTGAACATGAAATCGAATCGAATCACTCTCAAATCGAATCAAAACACACATGGTTCTAGTTTGGTACAACATCTCTAAAACCGCATAAACCGAAACCTTACCGAAATCGATAAAAAGCGAATCGTAAACTGAGTTTCACACCCCCGGACTTGTTGATATGATAAATGTGCCAGTATGAAATCTACCAAATAAAGACGACAAGGAGATCTGCTCGAGTGCACAACATGAAACCTAAGTCATTAGATAAAGGTTGCTAGGAGGTATGGTTGATCGATGACCCAATATGAAATTTGAGTCACCAAATAAAGATGACTAAGAGATATAATCGAGTGGTTGATAGTAGAGATGAAGTGAAACGGGTCGGATAGTCTTCATTTAATTGTACCTACACATTTAAATAAAATGGACATGGTTTTCAAAGCTTGGAGTTTGCTATATTGATTCGGATCTCACTACTAAAAAATAGTGGCCTCAAATTTCCAAAGTAGAGCTCAAATTAAATTTTCATGTTTAGTAGAACTTGTCTCAACATCCATATCTTGGACTCAACTTGTTTCTCGGGGTTTATAGTTTGAATGAGATAGTCGTCCTTGCCAAGTACTTGCGGTCCTTGTTATTCCACGCTTCAGTATGATGTCATAGTTCTCCTCTCCGCGCTGCAGCCTTTCAAGATCCATGGCTCATAGCCAGACACTCGTATGATGGGGTTCATAGGTTCTCAAAGTCAGAGGTTTGCGACTGCCGAAGATTTGTGCGATGTCGAAACTCTCATAGAGAGCTCCTAAAGATACAAGCAGTGGTGGAAATAATGATGGAGAAGAGAGTATTCCTCGCGAGGAGGAGCTCCAGGGATCTTTAAGTAGCCTTGTTGCCACTTGCTAGCTTGAATTTCTGATGATTTAAGGGAGGATATCGA